GGTAGAGAAGATTGAAAGCCTAACTTAGAAGTATGTACCTGTTACAATAGCTGAGTCTTGGCCAATCCCAGTGGCTATGCTTCAACCATTCATACACTGCTGAGTGTTCAAACCGTGTTTAAATATGGCAAACGTGAAGTTGTAACCAACTGGCTGTTCTGTACCTCACTTCCAATTTCAGTGCATTTCCCTTTTTTGCCTATAAATCTTCTTCCAACAGGTGCTGTGCTGGAGGCTCTGAATCTGCTGTGATTCTGGGGGCTGCCTGATTTGCAAATCGTTTATTGCTCAATTAAACTCTTTTAAATTTAAAAAAAAAAAAAAAGAATTAGAAAATCTAAACTAAAAAGAAACAATATTAAACAATGATTTATTTGAGGATAAAACACATGTGAATAATTCAAATTAAAGCAAATAATTTTGTTTACCACAAAATTATATCATGTATTCAAACCTAATATATAGGCTATTTCTTTTTTTTAATGTATCATGCCAAATTAGCAGATATAGCACAGGAAATGATCCTTTGTTACAGAAAATCAATGCGGAGTCAAAACTAATCCTCTTTGCTTAAAATTGTGAGAAGCAGTTTGCCCACTCATTTGCTAAGGCAGGGCCCTCTCTTCTCACATGAAGACCTGTGAAGTCTACATGCAGCTCCACCATGCTTAAATTGTTGATTATGATAGGATGGTTTGGGTTCAGATGGTGATCAAGGACTTTTTTCTGTATGCCCTATATACGAGGCATATTTTTTACTATTAAAAATCATTGAATAATGCTACTAAATTGTTTCCTATAAAGTTACATAAAAAGCATTAACAACCATTCATTTGATGCAATATAGGCTTGTAAAAGAAATTTTAAAAATAAGAATAAAATAGGCAAATGATATGAGGAAAAGGTAAACCAAAAGAAATAGGGATCATGATCTTTATGTCAGATAAGAAAAATTTCATGCCAAAAAGCATTAAATAAAATAAAGGCAGTTTGTGTTTTTAATGGATTCAGTTCACAATAGTTATAAAGATTAAGAATATCTATATGTTAAATTACATAGCAATACAATTCATAAAACAAAACCTCCAGGAGATACCAGTAAAAACAGACACATTAGTTGCAGGAAATGTTAATTTACTTCTGTTGGGCCACATGAAGGTCAAAATAATAAGTAAGATTATAGGGAGCTTAAATCTTCCAAAATCCTTTTATGGAATTAGCATAAAATTGATATTAAACCTGACAAACATAAGACCAAATATTGATACAAAACATTTTAAATAAAATATCAAAAACAGAATTTAGCAGCACATTAAAAAAATCATTTCCCAAGATCCAGTAAAACATATTTCAGGAAAGCAAAGTTAACTAATATTGGGAAATTTGTTTCTGTAATTTATCATATTGATAGATCTAAGGACAAAAATATTTGACATATCTATAGATGCTAAAAAAGGCATTTAATGAAATTCACATTTATTCTTTAAAAATAAACTCAGTAAAATGGCAATAGATTGACACCTCTTTAATATTGTAAATTATAATATTATAAAATCCCTCACCCAAAAAGCCTGCATAATGCTTACTAGAGAAATGAAATCAAATATATAAATTTTAAATATAAAAAGTGATGCATTCTATATGATTTTAAACATGTACTGTATTTTTTTTGTTTTTGGCCATAAATTTTTATGCCAAACATCAAGAACCAAAACTAGGAACTAAGCTAGCATTCTTGTTCTAATCACTTTTATGTGAAATAAGATGGAATATTCTAGCTAACATAATAAGCCATGGAATACATAAAACATATAGATCTCAGAAAGGCTGCATAAAACACAAAAATTTTCTTAGAAAACCCAAGATAATGAATTGAAAATTTATCATAATTAAGTATAGTTGAGCTATATAGCTAGTTACAAAATAAATAAAAGCAAGGTGTTGTGGCTCACACCTGTAATTCAGCAATTTGGGAGGCCGAGGTGGGCGGATCATGAGGTCAGGGATCCAAACAATCCTGGCTAACATGGAGAAAACCCATCTCTACTAAAAATGCAAAAAATTAGCCAGGTGTGGTGGCACATACCTGTAGTCCCAGCTACTCGGGAGGCTGAGGCAGGAGAATCACTTGAACCCAGGAGGCAGAGGTTGCAGTGAGCTGAAATCTCACCACTGCACTCCAGCCTTGGTGACAGAGCAAGACTCCACTCAAAAAAAAAAAAAAAAAGAGAAAAAAAGCAATAGGTTCATTTAATCAGCAATAAGCTAATTAAAAGTTTTAATGAGGAAAAAAAAACAAGTATTTAGTTAACAACAACAACAACAAGACATAAAATACTCTAGGAAACACAGTTAAAAATTTGTGAAGCTCAACAGCAAAGACATGGTGTCAACCTAAATGCCCATTAATGGTACACTGGATAAAGAAAATGTGGTATATATACAGCATGGAATATTATGCAGCCATAAAAAAGAACAAGATCATGTTCTTTGTAAGAACATGGATAGAGTTGGAGGCCATTATCCTTAGCAAATTAATGCAGGAACAGAAAAATAAATACTGCATGTTGTCATTTATTAGTGGGAGTTAAATGATAAGAACACATGGACACATAGAGGGGAGCAACACACACTGGGGCCTATCAGAGGATAGATGGTGAGAGGAAGGAGAGGATCAGAAAAAAATAACTAATGGGTACTAGGCATAATACTTGGGTGACAAAATAATCTGTACAGCAAACTCCCATGACATGAGTTTACCTAAATTACAAACTTGCATATACCCCTGAACTTAAAATAAAAGGGGTGGGGGAGTGGGGAGGGATAGCATTAGGAGAAATACCTAAAGTAGATGACAGTGGATGGAGGCAGCAAACCACCATGGCATGTGTATACCTATGTAACAAACCTGCAAGATCTGCACATGTACCCAGAACTTAAAGTATAATAAAAAAAATCTGAAGCTTACATAGGGAAAGTTGCAAAATTAGTATTGTAAAAGAATTGAAAAATGGCCCAGATAGAAAAGTCAGCCCTGAAGTAGATTCTGATATATTTAAAACAATTATAGGAAATGAATTATCCTCTAAATGTAGTAGGAAGATTAGGTTAGCTATTTAGAAGAAAATGTACATCTTTACTTACTTCCATAAATACCAGATAGATTTAAGACCTAAGCAAATGGTTAAAGATGAATTTCTAAAGTAATAAATGTTGAGTGTTTTGTGAAGTTCTTTAATCTGGAAAAAAAATAGAGATGATGTTTTGTTAAACTTTGAATAAGGAAAACTTGAAATTAAACAAAAATCTGTTACAGTAATCACACAGAAAGAAAGGAGACTGCGTGAATGGTATCTGCATGTGCTTAGAATGCCTCTGTAAAATACATAGGGAATTGCTGAGCCTGGCTTCCACTGAGGAAGGGGATTGTGGATGAGGGACAGGGCTGGGAGGGGGATTAACTTTTCACTTTAAACCTTTCTTTGCATCTTTTGAGTTTTTGTACCATGTTCATGTATTACCTTTAAAAAATAATGTAAACAACTTAAGTTTCCAATTTAGAAAAGGAAAAACAATGAGGCCCACCAAAATTGACAAGTTTAGTTACTTAAAATCTTAGGATGTCATTGAACAGCAGCAAAATAAAACAAAACAAAAATCCTAAAAATAATGAAACATGGAGACATATTTGCAGCCAAATGTCAAATATTGACTTAATATCCTTGATAGAAAAATATATTGTACCAAAGAAGGACCAAGAAAAAAAAAAAAAAGAAAAGATGAGGTCAACTAAAGAAAAATATACATAAGATACAGTGGGTACTTCTTAAAGGAGGAAGTACAAACAGCCGATAAACACAGAACCATTCAACTTCACTTTTGGGTAAGAAAATTCCTAAGCAAAACATCAATAAGGTATTGTTTTTCACTAATAAAATTAGAAATATTATAAATACTCTGTTCTTGCAAGTGTGCAATGAGGAGATCATGCTATTACTGGAGGGGGTTCAAGTTTGTAAAACGTTTCTGAAACATAATAAAAACATGGTACAAAAACTCAAAAGATGCAAAGAAAGGTTTAAAGTTTCAGCACTAATTATTTTGAGTCTTTAAAATGTTCCTGTCCTTTGTCTTGGAAATTTTTACTTCTGGAGGCTCTAGGATATAAATAATTTGCAAAGTAGAGAGAGCTGCATGCACAAGATGTTTACTGCCCCATTAGTTATAGCAACAACAACAACAAAAATTGTTAGAGCTGGAGTTTGCAGTAGTGCCAAAAAACCCCATCACTTCCTGTTTCTAATCTCACATGATGATGTAAGGCTCTAAGTACTTTGCTGCTCTGTTATGTTTTCAGTTTTGTGAGTCCACCATGTGAAGCTCACAGTCAGACCAATTTTTCAAATTAATGCAATGAGCCTCTTTTTCACATTTAGATGTTTTGGAGGTCCCATTATTCGTCAGTAAAGATGGTCAGGTATTTGAAGGAGAATTAAAACAGGGGAATGGAGGAAAACCTGGTTGGGGAAAGCTAAAATGGGTTTTGTAGTTTTTTGAGTTGAAAATGGAGAGATGAAATGATGTGTTACATTATGTCCAGAGAGAGAGAGAAAACTAAGGGAAAATTGAGGGGTAATTTGAAACATTTCACAAAAGTTGCTGAAATGTCAGAGTAAAAAGTAACCCCTGCTCTGTAATGGACTTAGAAACTGAAATAGTCTAAAGATTAAACCCACTTGCAAGTGAATAGTTAAGCTCCTATGGACTCTCAGGGATCCCTGTCTAGGTGATAGTGGAACCTGCTCCATTTTAGCATGTTTGCATGTCTGCCTCTTCCACAGATTAGGATCTCCAAGGAAAAAAGCCTTTATTGTATTAGGCTTTACACCCTCACCCCTTAGCACACAGCCTGGTGTACCCGTTTTCTAAATGACTGAGTTAATATTTGAAGGATAACTTTCTAGAGTATTATTTAACATGAAGATTTTCTTTCCAAACAGGATTACCAAACCAATAACAATGACCAGGCGGTAGTTGAAATCTGTATCACGAGAATCACAACAGCCATCAGAGAGACTGAGTCCATTGAAAAGCATGCAAAGGCCCTTGTGGGGCTCTGGGACTCCTGCTTGGAACATAACGTGAGACCCTTTGGGAAAGATGAAGATACTCCTCATGCAAAAATCGCATCTGATATCATGAGTTGCATTTTACAGGTATGTCAGTGTTCAACATCAGGCTGTTTGATACTGAGTTGGCAGCTTAGGTGAACCTGTGATGTCTCTGAACCAAGAGCCAATGTTTCTGTAGCATTTAGATACTGTAAAAAGACCCCACAAGCCATCAATAGCTAAGCTGGGAGGGCTGGTAATTAATAAACTGAGAAAGTTCTATAGAGCCCCTGCTACATGCAAGACACACGGCAGGGAATTCAATTCACTGGAAGCCTCTAATCTGGAGAGCATACATATAAAAAGTTAACAATAAAGCAGTGTGTGCCAAGACCCACGGGAGGAGTACTAGAAAATTCAGAAGAGGAGTTCTCTTTCGTCCAGGGAGAACACAGTGGAAGCAAAAATGAACTGAGGGGCAGTGAGCTAGGGATACAGCGGGGAAAGTAACTAAGTCATTTCAAACATATTTCTGTATGTACTGAGAATTTTTCATGATGATATTTGCCTGTTCTGACCACAGTTAATTCTTTCCTCTGGTATAAATGTGAATTTGGAGTTTGGGCTCAGCCACTAATGAGTTGTTTAACACTGCAAAGTTGGGCAGGTCTTTTAACTTCTTAAGCCATGGGGTTCTCCCTATAAAGCGCAGGTTAAATGACACGGTCTATGACAAATTTTCCAACCAGTGATGTTGACAGCTGTTTCTCAAAAAAGAATTTTGTGATCAAATAAGCTGGGAAACAATTCAATTTTTCCCCTTTGAGTGATCACAATGGCATATTAAAGGTTCTGTAAAGTCCTACAATAAAGAAAGCTGGCTAACTTTGTTTAGGCCAGCATTTTCCAATCTGATTTCACCATGGAATCTCCTTTCTCCTCCCCACTCCCAACACAACACTTTTGAACATCCCTCAGAACCTGTGTTCCACTGAGCACAGGTCAGGAAAATCTGGTTCTGTTGAAATGCTTAGCAGTGCATGTGGCAGCTGATATTAGCATCCTTTATTCTTCTTCCTTTTTTCCCCACAGTTGTTTATGATTAACTGGATCATGTTTTACCTTGTCTGATCAGTCCAGGAATCAGTCAACTGAACAAAAGACTCTTCATGCACCACCACATTGTGTCTCCTTCATCCCCAGGGTTACGGATGGGTAGGGAGAAAATGGGGATTGCAGCAAAATTAACAAAAGATGAATAGTGCTTGATGGAACAACGAAGACCCAATGCATTTGCTCTAAATTGGTTATCTTGGTATATTATTGATATTTATCAGAATCATAGATTATTTCACCCCCGTGTGCACCTTAACACATATTCAAACAATTTAAGCATCCTTTCTCACTCTCCCTGAGGGTTCAAAACCATTGGCCTAGACTTCAGGACAGTACTATCCAATAGAAATCTAATGTAAGCCACAAACAGGAGCCAAATATGTAATTTTAAATGTTCTTGGTGTGGGGTGAGTAGGGGAACAGTAGTGAAGAGGGAGAAAAATAATACAAGTATATTTATTACCACTGAATTATACACTTAAAAATTGTAAAGATGGTAAATTATATATGTATATTTGATTTCAATTTCAAAAATTAAAAAAAAAAACATTCTAGGAGCCACTTAAGTATAAAGAAAGGTGAAATTGATTTTAATATTTCCTCAACCCATTATATTCAAAATAGTATCATTTCAACATACAATCAATATAACAATTTGTTTTTTTTTTTTTTTTTTGAGATGGAGTCTCACTCTATCGCCTGGGCTGGAGTGCAGTTGAGAAATCTTGGCCCACTGCAACCACCACCTCCTGGGTTCAAGCTATTCTCCTGCCTCAGCCTCCTAAGTAGCTGGGACTACAGGTGCCTACCACAACACCCAGCTAATTTTTATATTTTTAGTAGAGATAGGGTTTCACCATACTGGCCAGGCTGGTCTTGAACTCCTGACCTTGTGATTCATCTTTTTTTTTATTGCATTTTAGGTTTTGGGGTACATGTGAAGAACATGCAAGTTAGTTGCATAGGTACACACATGGCGGTGTGATTTGCTGCCTTCCTCTTCTTCACCTGTATCTGGCATTTGTCCCCATGCTATCTCTCGCCAACTCCCCATCCCCCGCTGTCTCTCCACTATTGCCCCCAACAGACCCCAGTGTGTAGTGCTCCCCTCCCTGTGTCCATGTGTTCTCATTGTTCATCACCCACCTATGAGTGAGAATATGTGGTATTTAATTTTCTGTTCTTGTGTCAGTTTGCTGAGAATGATGTTCTCCAGGTTCATCCATGCCCCTACAAAGGACACGAACTCATCGTTTTTGATTGCTGCATAATATTCCATGGTGTATATGTGCCACATTTTCCCTGTCCAGTCTATCATCAATGGGCATTTGGGTTGATTCCAGGTCTTTGCTATTGTAAACAGTGCTGCAATGAACATCCGTGTGCATGTGTCCTTATAATAGAACGATTTATAATCCTTCAGATATATACCCAGTAATGGAATTGCTGGGTCAAATGGAATTTCTATTTCTAGGTCCTTGAGGAATCGCCACATTGTCTTCCACAATGGTTGAACTAATTTACACTCCCACCAACAGCATAAAAGTGTTCCTATTTCACCACATCCTCTCCAGCATCTGTTGTCTCCAGATTTTTTAATGATCGCCATTCTAATTGGCGTGAGATGGTATCTCAATGTAGTTTTGATTTGCATTTCTCTAATGGCCAGTGATGATGAGCATTTTTTCATATGTTTGTTGGCCTCATGTATATCTTCTTTTGTAAAGTGTCTGTTCATATCCTCTGCCCACTTTTGAATGGGCTTGTTTGTTTTTTTCCTGTAAATCTGTTTGAGTTCTTTGTAAATTCTGGATATCAGCCCTTTGTCGGATGGGTAAACTGCAAAAATTTTTTCCCATTCTGTTGGTTGCCGATTCGCTCTAGTGACTGTTTCTTTTGCCGTGCAGAAGCTGTGGAGTTTGGTTAGGTCCCATTTGTCTATTTTGGCTATTGTTGCCAATGCTTTTGGTGTTTTGGTCATGAAGTCGTTGCCTACTCCTATGTCCTGAATGGTTTTGCCTAGATTTTCTTTTAGGGTTTCTACGGTGTTAGGTCTTATGTTTAAGTCTTTAATCCATCTAGAGTTAATTTTAGTGTAAGATGTCAGGAAGGGGTCCAGTTTCTGCTTTCTGCACATGGATAGCCAGTTTTCCCAACATCATTTATTAAACAGGGAATTCTTTCCCCATTGCTTGTTTTTGTCAGGTTTATCAAAGATTGTATGGTCATAGATATGTTGTGTTGGCTCCGCTGCCTCTGTTCTGTTCCATTGGTCTATATCTCTGTTTTGGTACCAGTACCATGCTGTTTTGATTACTGTAGCCTTGTAGTATAGTTTGATGTCCGGTAGTGTGATGCCTCCCACTGTGTTCTTTTTGCTTAGAATTGACTTGGCTATGTGGGCTCTCTTTTTGTTCCATATGAAGTTTAAGGCGGTTTTTTCCAGTTCTGTGAAGAAGGTCATTGGTAGCTTGATGGGGATAGCATTGAATCTGTAAATTACTTTGGGCAGTATGGCCATTTTCACAATATTGATTCTTCCTAACCATGAGTAGGGAATGTTTCTCCATCTGTTTGTGTCCTCTCTGATTTCGTTGAGCAGTGGTTTGTAGTTCTCCTTGAAGAGGTCCCTTACGTTCCTTGTGAGTTGTATTCCTAGGTATTTTATTCTCTTTGTAGCAATTGTGGATGGCAGTTGGTTCTTGATTTGGCTCTCTTTAAGTCTGTTATTGGTGTATAGGAATGCTTGTGATTTTTGCACATTGATTTTGTATCCTGAGACTTTGCTGAAGTTGCTTATCAGTTTCAGGAGTTTTTGGGCTGAGACAATGGGGTCTTCTAGATATACTATCATGTTGTATGCAAATAGAGACAATTTGGCTTCCTTCTTTCCTATTTGTATACCCTTTATTTCTTTTTCTTGCCTGATTGCTCTGGCTAGAACTTCCAGTACTATATTGAATAGGAGTGGTGAGAAAGGGCATCCTTGTCCAGTGCCAGATTTCAAAGGGAATGCTTCCAGTTTTTGCCCACTCAGTATGATATTGGCTGTTGGTTTGTCATAAATAGCCTTTATTAAGATACATTCCATCAATACCGAGTTTATTGAGGGTTTTTAGCATAAAGGGCTGTTGAATTTTGTCAAAGGCCTTCTCTGCATCAATTGAGATAATCGTGTGGTTTTTGTTTTTGGTTCTGTTTATGTGGTGAATTACGTTTATAGACTTGCATATGTTGAACCAGCCTTGCATCACCAGGATGAATCCTACTTGATCATGGTGGATAACCTTTTTGATGTGCTGTTGGAATTGGCTTGCCAGTATTTTATTGAAGATTTTTGCGTCTATGTTCATAATGGATATTGGCCTGAAGTTTTCTTTTCTTGTTGAGTCTCTGCCAGGTTTTGGTATCAGGATGATGTTGGTCTCATAAAATGATTTGGGAAGGATTCCCTCTTTTTGGATTATTTGGAATAATTTCAGAAGGAATGATAACAGTTCCTCTTTGTGCGTCTGGTAGAATTTGGCTGTGAACCCATCTAGACCTGGGCTTTTTTTGTGTGGTAGGCTCTTAATTACTGCCTCAACTTCAGATCTTGTTATTGGTCTATTCATGGTTTTGACTTCTTCCTGGTTGAGGCTTGGGAGGACACAAGTGTTCAGGAATTTATCCATTTCTTCCAGGTTTACTAGTTTCTGTGCATAGAGTTGCTTGTAATATTCTCCGATGATGGTTTGAATTTCTGTGGGATCTGTGGTGATTTCCCCTTTATCGTTTTTTTATTGCATATATTTGCTTATTCTCTTTTCTTTTTAATTAATCTGGCTAGTGGTGTGTCTATTTTGTTGATCTTTTCGAAAAACCAGTTCCTGGATTTATTGATTTTTTGAAGGGTTTTTCGTGTCTCCATCTCCTTCAGTTCTGCTCTGATCTTAGTTATTTCTTGTCTTCTGCTAGGTTTTGAGTTTTCTTCATCTTGCTTCTCTAGC